GGCACATGTTATTTATCTTTAATTTACAATATGGCCGAGCAGCTTGTAAGTCAAAAAGGGTACAGCTGTTACACTTCAGTGACAACAAGCAGCTACCAAGCATGGAGACAAATATGGTTATTTCAAACAAAGATCCAGAAGCACCCAGTATGGGAACAATGGCTATCCAAATAAAGAGGAAAATAATTAATTAATATATTAAAGAACTTTAAAGACTGCAGGATTCAGCCTCTCTCTCCACAGGCAAAACACCTACTTGAGCATGATAGTAAATGGGGAATGCAAGTCACCATACATGATTAATAATAATAATAATTAATATGTGCTTCCTGAATATCACATTTCACATGGAGACTCTGAAAATACTTTTGAAATTCTCATTAAAATTCAATGGCCTATGTGAAGTAAGCACTATTTTACCCAAGCAGCAGACGAGTAAACAGTGGGAGGGTCGAAGATAGAAATTTCCTCTTTCTCCCTCCCAAGGTCATGCAGTAAAAGTATCAGTGTTCTGTGCCACAAAGATAAAATCCTGGGCAAGGGGAGTCATATGCTAATAAGTGCCCATCACTTACGATTCCCAGTAGGGATGTGAACAAGTAACCTTACCAGGTGATGCTTATCAGTAATCAATTAATTGATGCCCAGGAGCAGCCTGGCCAGGCTCACTGCACCACGGATTGGTGCAAAGCCAGCAGCCCTACAACCTGAGGGTGCTCTAGCCAGGCTCGAGCCCCTGGCCTGTAGGATTGCACTTTAATCAGTTATTACGTTTAACCAGTTGTTTAGCAGGATTTTACATCACTAATTTTCACTCACTCATGCAGTCTAGCCATGAAACAAGCTTCTGCGTTTCTCCTCCATCATTTTGTGTTGCTCGTGTGATTGTTATAAGCATTTTTTTATGTCGGGTTTGATCAGTAGAAAAGAGCTTCAGACATGAAAAGCACAGATAACCACAGTGATCCCTAATTGTTTTACTGAAGGGGGTTACTCTAAGTGTGAAGCTATATTTCATTAGCTGGAACCCTCTCTCCCCACCTTACATTGAAATATCCTTTAAGGAAGGTAAGTTGAAAATACTTAATTGACTACATACAAGCAACAACACAACATGAGCTCTCCTCCCCCCACAAATTAACTGCAACATGCTGATAATGCCAATCCACCCTCATATCATAAAATCCATTTAGTGACTCCAAATAGGGATACACAGTGGTTTCAAGTTCACACATAAAAAGGATCCATTAATCATAGTTATCGTAATTTGGTAGCCAGTTACGAGTACTTACACAACTACTGCGGTGATAGGGAGCAGTGGGAGTTTTAAGTACATAATAAATGATATGAAGGCTGCCAGGTGCTACAAATGATGGGCTCAGTGGCACAGGGATGAGCACGGTTGTTACTTGCCACTAAAGGTCAGAAAGAAATGCTACATTCAGTGCACTTTGTTACTTGAAGTATTTTGTGGGTGGAGGAAACAGAATATCAGTCTACTGTGTATCCTTCAAATAGTCTTAGTACTGGGGGTGGTGCAGAAGAATCATTCGGGGGCTCATGAGAATTAAACTAACCCCCCCTTCCCCAAATTGAACTAGGCCCTGAACTCACTTTAACAATTATATCAACCAGCCATGATATAAGACAGTGGTTTTCAACCTATGGCCCTCAGACCACTTGGAGGTCTACAGATTATGTCTCAGGTTTCCATAGAAGTCTGCACCTCCATTTGAAAATTTTTTCGGAGTCTGCAAATTAAAAAAGTTTGAAAAGCAATGAGTGAATTTCATCTATCAGTGGTTATGTTACAACCCGGAGCTGGAACCATTGGATCTGCTGTTGGAATTGTAGGTCTGGGCCAGACCTACAAACAAGGACTATTTGAAAATGACTCTGATTTAAAATGAGTGTCCACGCCACATGAAAATACATAGTAAGCAAAAACCCCCCAAAAAACCCAACCCCCACAAACAGACACAACCATACCCTGGCTTGACGTTGGACATGGGGCTTAACCAGGCCCCCAGTGAATCTTCCTTTCTCTAATTTTATTAGTCATGAGATTGAGGGAAAACTATCCTTATGGTCATTTCTATTAGATAGAATCACAGATGTTACAAATGGAAAAATATCTGTGATAGAAACATAGCCTGACTGTGGCAGCAGTAAAGCCCCATTGCTTGGGTCATTTAAAAGCATAATAGACAAATCAGTAGAAAATGTATACTCTAAGGCAAAATCCTGCAAATTGCCCCACTCAAGAAGACCAATGAACTATAAAAGTGACAGACAAAATC